AACGTACGTACGTCGTCGTCCGTCCGGTACCGCCGTACGTACGTAAAGTAGTAACTAATAAGTAAGTAAGTAACTACTACTACTACTATATATATATATATATATATATATATATATATATATATATATATATGATTATATACGACTAGGAATGTTTGACAATGGGCAGTTAAGCCTGTAATATTTTAGGACTCAAGACCGATTACGACAGGATTATTATACCCTTGTACAGCCAATGCTGATGTACGAGTTTGTGAAAAGCATCATGGCTTTGCTGCTTATACTGCCGTGACTGTGCGGCTTAAATTAAACATAATCCTAAATTGTAGCACTGCCAAAGATGCATAAATATTCGTAATCATTGCCACCGCCATTGCACTCAACGATACCATGCGAGCGGGAGGTGTTATGGGATTGTGCGCGCAGCAACCTGATTCAATTTTACTGTATTATGTCTAGACCTCCTGCAAATTCGCAATCACTCTAACTGATGCTTTTAATGGGGGGGGGGGAGTACGGGCAACCATCTATTAGCATGAAAGAGTGGTAGGGTAAGGTAGTGGTAAAATCATATTCATATAGATTCACGCGCAGCCATGGTTCATTAAGATTTAAACAACGGAGTTATGTTATGGGTGACCGCATATAGCGAGCAAACGTCATTAAACATTATGCATGGACAATTGCATCTAATGACGAGAATAATTGAATTTCATTCATTCACGAAATTCTATGGCGTTCAGCGTTGTCCGACTGCTATTCGTAGATCGTATATATCTCCTGAATAAGTCGAAATAATTACGTTGGCCAACGGAGGAGAACTTGGTGATGTCATCGAGAAAATCGATTATTATAATTCAATTATCATGAATTTATCTAATGAGATAAAACATTTTTATGTGTTCAATATTTATGATCAGTTAAAAGTGCGGTTTCAATCAAACATGGAGAGGCAAACGAGCTTTTTTCACTTTGTTATTTTCTGTCATTGTGACAGTCTAAAAGGATAATGATAGAGTAAAACAGTAAGTATACCTATCTCATAACATGTTTCCCAAGTCGAGTGCTCGTACGATTGTGCGTGATTACGTGCGTGTGTGCGGGCGTGTGTGCGCGCGTGTGTGCGCGCGTGTGTGCGCGCGTGTGTGCGCGCGAGCTCATGTGTGTGTTGTGTATGTATGGGTAGGTAGGTAGATCGGTCGGTCGGTCGGTCGGTCGGTAGGTCAGTCGATCGGTCAGTGGGTCGGTGGGTCCAGACAAACAGATTGACAGGCAGGTAGGCAGGCAGGCAGGCATGCAGGGAGGCAAGCAGGCAGCTAGGGAGGTACAGATACAGATACAGATACAGATTGAATTATGTATGTATTTGTTAAATATTCTTTAGTCTTACATCGATGGTGATACCCTTGTATGAGCGTGACAGACGCCAGAGGTTGCAGGATCGCGGCAACAACGTTTATTGCCGCAATCTGATTGTAAGCGCCATCGGCAACATCAAACGCCGAAAAATGATAGGCGTATTAAAGCGATAACTGTAAGTCGAAGCCAGCAGCATAGTTGTGATTGTGATTGATGGAATGCAGAGATTTAAC